TTTCGTTTGCTTCAAACGCGCCTTTACGACGTTATAAAGCCAGGCGTAAAACCTGGGAGAAACGCAAAGAAACGATCAAAAAGAAGAAAAAGAAGAAGAACAAGGAGAAAAAACAACATTAAACAAGTCGTCAAAGGGGGATGAATACCCGAAAACGAGCAATCCAGCCGGAATGGGCTCGAAAATTGAGAGATTTTCCAAGCTTTTATGCATTTTTGATCAAGGTTCGATGACAAATTGTGTCAGTTTTTTCGGTTTTGTTTCTGGAAAGGTTTGCATTTTTGATCTCGTCATAAAGGTTGAAAAAAAGTGTCCGGAAGTGCAGAAAAATGGCTTTTTTTCAGTCATAAATTTAAAAATGAGCTCTTTTGAATTGAAATGGGCCCAATTTTTAGCATTGAAAAAAATGTTTAGGAAAAAGTGAGATTTTTGTGAAAAAAATCAGTAGGTGGAGAAAAAAAGCATGAATAAATCGCTATGATGAAAAATCAAACTTTCATGAAAAAACTTTTCTTTTCTATTCACCAATAGGTTTTCGAACCTGACAATAACGTTCCAGCTGATTTTTTTAAAAAAACTTTTTAATTGAAAAACTATTATTGATTTTTTTCCTACTGCATTCAATAATATTTATTAACAAGTAAGTAAATTTAAAAATTATTTTTTTTCTCAGAATGACCCTATGAAAAATTGCTATTTCAGTGGAAAAAAATCGAAAAATATTTTCAAAGTTTAACTGTATTTTTTTCTTCAATTTTTTTCAAAAATTTCCCTGAGCTTAAAAAAATGATCGAAAAAAACCAAAAAAATTCCATCCAAAAAAATCTGTCCCTCAAACGTCCAAAACAAGAACGCGTCAGTGAAAAAAACCCATATTTCTACTCCAACTGCCCGAAAAACGTCCAAAAATGTTGCCCGCCAAGGTCCCGCGGGACTTGGTGTTCGTTTGCACGGACATTTCAAGTTTCTTTATCAAATTCTCGGCTTGGACACGACAAAAAATAGGAGAAAAGAGGAAAAACTCGGAGAAAAGGGATCCAAAAATCAAGAAAAGAGGGCCGAAATCAATCACGATCACGGGAGCATCTGTCCGTTGGATCCACAGCGAAATTGGCTTTTTTTCCTCAAAATTTTTGCAAGAGATTGGAAGAGAAATGTCAATGGAGTAGGGAAACAGGTAGAAGAAGGGAAAATAATTGGAAAAAAATTTGAAAGCGATTTATTTTTTTGCTAAAACTTGGAAGGACCGAATCTAAAAATTCAAACTTTATAACTGTACATTTCAAAACTTTTGAAATCCATATTGTGAACTGAATGAAACAACTTTTTCAACATAATAAAGTAATTGAACCACTTTAAAAAATCCATATTTGGCCTCCTTCAACAGTCTTTGGACATTATTAGCCTTCTAAATCGCTTAAAAAACTCATTTTCCATATCAACTTGTCCTGGGCCTTCTCTAGAACAAAATAAAAAACTTCGAACCCTCATCCCTTCAGAAAATCCTCAATTAAACTGCTCCAACCCATTGAAAATCTCATTCGAAGCGGCGGAAAGTTGACACGCAATTAATTTCGAACCCAACCGAGCTGTCAAAACGCATCAAACCGAAACGGCCGCTTGGAATCAAAAATGACGGTTTTCACTCATTCAAACTGAAGCCATGGGAAAATGGATCAACTGCTGTTTTATTTGGTTCCTAATAATTGGATAAGTGATCTTTGGGAGTCTAGAAATCATATCCAAAAATGACAGCCGCGCTATTTTTGGTAAAAAAATATTTTTTTTCAAATATACTACAAAATAAAAAATTTTTCTCGATACCAAAGCGCTGTATATTCCAAAAAGCAAGGTTTTCACGATAAGTATAAATTTTGAAAGTTCAATGGTCTAAAAAATGAAAGCCAGCTGCAGGAGCATTCGAAATCCATAAAGAAAAACTTCAAAAAAGTTCGGAATTGGGAAAAAAAAACTTCTGCAAATATATCGGGTTTCCAAGTGAATAAATAGAGGCAGCTTCATTTAGAAGCTTTTTGAGATCGGAAAAATTCAGAACTTTCTTTAAATTGAATTTTTAAAAAAACTAAAAAGTATCAATTAGGAACGATTTTCACTGGAATAAAAGACAGCTCTCAGAAAAAAATAATCCAAAAATCTTTTTTTGAAAAATGAAATTTTCTTCAGAAATTACAAAAAAATCGCATCGAAAAAAATTGAATTTTAAGTTAAAAAAAACTACATTCAGCCATCAGAAAAACGTGCAAAAGCGTCAAAATCAGAATTAATTTCCCGCCCGAAACACACTCGAGGCATCCAGGCGGAAAGGCCGACGTTGGACGGAAAAAAAGACGAAAAAAAAGGGCCAGCGCGGCTGAAAACGTTTCGTACGAATTTTGTGGGCGTGGCCAACGTAGAGGGCAGGGCCGGACAAATCGTAAAACTGAACATGTGGTGTAGGTTTTCCGATGAGATCCCCCCAGTGCGCAACCGCCTGTCCAACTTTCTTGGGAACTAGTTTTTTGATCATTTGCAGAAAAAAGTTAAAAATTGAACTTTCTTTTTGTCAAGAAGACCTGACCTTCTAGAAGGGCAAACTCAACAGAAATTGGAAAAAAAACGGTTATTTTCAGCTTCAATCAAAAATTCAGACTTGAATGAGATCTCCTGTGAGCAACCGCCTGTCCTTTCTTGGGAGCTAGTTTTTTTTTCGGAAAAATTGAAGAAAAAGTGTGAAAAAATGACAATGCCTTCTATAAGGGCTAAGATAACAGGAAATTGAAAGATCAGTAAATTATCCTTTACTTAAAACTCTACTCCCCTCTGCCAACAGTATAGACAATTATTCAAATAATGCAACTTTAAAAAAATTAAAAAAATTACCTCAAAAAAACTTATCAAACCATATTTTTTTAAAAAAAGCTTGTATCTTTAAAAAAATCACAAAGCTTGAATAAAAATCTTTCTTCGGGACTTTTTCATGAAGATTTTTGATTTATATAAGAAAAAAATTGAAAAATTCTTTTTAACAGAAGGTTGAAAAAAATTTTTTTCCATCCAAAAATAGCTCTTTGAATTATTTTAAAAAAATGAAAGCTTCGATTTTCAAAAAAACTCGAGAAATTTTCACGAAAAAAATCTAAAAAAATGTTGTACTTTCATCTGACAAGAGAACAATGCTTTTTAAAAACGGCGACTTCAAGAAAAAAATTTGAGAAAAAAATTTTTTTTCTGCATAAGTTCTTGGAAACATTCTCCAGTAAAAATGAGCTTTTAAATTTTAAAAAAATTCCACATTTTGACATGGCAAACCTGTTGAACTTTCTTGGGAACTAAATTTCTACATTTGCAAAAAAACTCAAAAAAAGTTCTACTTTTTATCTGACGGAATCACAAAAAGTTCTGATAAATCAGAAAAAAATAGGAAGTGTGACTTAAAAAGGAAGCCTATTGCCTTAGTTAGTGAGAGAGTCAACGGGGAAAATCTCGAAAAACAGAAAAACAACCAAATTTCCTTCAAAAACTGTTTCCAAAATTATTTTACCCTTTTTTCTGGTCAGGAATGTTTTTCAAATTGTAACAATCGTTTGTTTTTCTTTGAAACGTTGAGGTGAGTCAATGGCTTGGAATGGGGGATAATAAATAATTACAGCGTCAACGATCATCTCGAGAAGCTTTCCGAGAGAATAATGAGGCTGCAATTCTATTTTTTCTTGCAAAAGGGTTTCAAAGTATAAGCTCGACAAAAATTCGATAGAAATAGAGTAAAACAATTGAAGAAAGCTCAAAAATAATTCATTAATCACCTATTATTGAAAAAACAAAAAAAACTTGATTTTTCAGGATCCAATGAAGCTGTAAATTAACTTAACCAGTTTCTTCAGGAAAAAAAAACAGAATAAAAAAAATCAATTCATTTCCAAAAATTAATTCATTTTCGAGATTCTTTCGAGAAATAAGAAAACAAGAGAGATTATCTTCTAAACCTCTGAGAAAAAGCTCCTTGAAAAATCGAGGAAGACTCCTGTACACGCCTGAACCTTCTTCTCTTTCTAGGTGGACTGGCGCAGTGGTTAGAGGGTCAGACTCACGGTTGACTTGTTTTAGGTTCGATTCCTGTCGAGGGCAAATCTTTTTTGCATTTTTCTTGAAGACAAATACCTTTGTAAAAGTACGAAATTCGAAAAGATTTAGTAGGTTTATCAATATATTTTCGTTTTTCCGGAGGTATTCAGCAAAAAATATTGTAAAGAACGAGGAAACAACGCTGGGATAAAGAGTAGTTGTACTGAAAATGACTTTTACAGCATCTGGACCGAGAGAACTGCTTTTCATCAATTTTCTAACTTCTATAAATGTTTGTGTCTTTAAGAAAATGCAAAAAAAAAATCAGATTTATTCTTATTTCAAATTGGTTTGAAAACTACATGGGCAGGGAAAAATTCAATAAGTCCAGAAAGTCCAGGAAGTCCAGAACTTACAAAAATGAAAGGAAATCTGAGCCCAGGAAGGCAAAATTCAAACTAAATAGAGGTTGTTCCGTTTTTAATCGAGCAAGACTTGGGGAATACGGCCTTCTAGAAAACTCTGTCCAACTGTGATATTTCAAGAAACATGGGAGTGCTCCGAGTTGCATTACAGTACTGGCCACAAAAGATATTTCAAAGTGGTTATTCGAGCATAACTTCTCTGAAAGTGGCTCAAATGACTTGAAACTTTGCACAAATTTCAAATAGCTACGCAGTGAATCTTTCCAAGAAAAAGAACTCATTTGCTCGAGTCAGACCAGATTTGAGAGCAAAAAACCAAAAATCGTGAAAATGAAGATTTTTCTCAAGAGATTCGAAAAATCGTATCTTCAAAGAAACTTCGATTTTGAATCAGAAATTTTTTTCCCCGGTAAAACAAGGTTTCGGCTCTCCAAAAAACCTAATGAGCCCCTTACCAACCCGATAGTAAGAGCTTAGAGACTTTTTCTTCGAAAGGCCTTTGCGTTCATTCAAATGGACTATACGAGGTCATTTTTGTTTGAGAACACCCTGTTTCATGTTGAAAAACAAAAACAAAATGTTTCGTGAAAATCTAGAAAAGTGGCTCGAAAAGTCGAGAAAGCGGATGACTTCCGTCCGTTGACCGCAACACAAACCGGAAGAAGAAGAACGGAGCAAAGTGGACATTTGGCCCGTGTAGAAGCGGAGAGAGAGTAATATCACAACGTCGGCGCCAACGAGTGAATTTACGCAGTTGTCGTGGCGCCGTTCCTCTGTGTGAGTCACGAAGAGCCGCCGCCGCCCCGGAAGACGGCCGTTTTTTCCCCTCCGACGTCGGCAACAAAAACGGCGCCGCCGCCGGAGGCCCAGAGTGAGTGAAGACTCATCCATCTTGGCAACCCGCCAAGAAAAAGTCGCCTCGAAAAACCCGACAGCCCTCAAGGCTTTTTGCTTCAATTAAACCATCCTGTGGTCAAGGAGAACGTCTCTGGTTTTTTGACTTTAGAGGACGCTCAATGAAGAAAAAAGAAATCTAGGGTTCCAAAATTTGAAAATGAAGCAAAAGTGGAGCTTGAAACAGGACGATCTTCAAAAAAAAACTTCCTATCGAAGAAAAAATCAGTCAAAAAACTGAGAAAAAATGGCCGCCAGTAGATCTGACTTGTTAGCTCCATGGCTAAAAATAAAAATCTGACATTTCACGAAAAAAGCCCTTTTTTTAAACATAAAAACCGCTTAATTACGTGATTATCAATGGAGCGCACAAAGCTGCTCAGTTGGGGCTATTTTGAGTACTTTCTTAAAAATTGACCAAGCTCGGGACATTTTTTTTTTGATTTTTCTCAAAGTCATTTTTGAGCTTCTCAGAAAATCATGTTTATCAATGGAGCAGATAACCTGTTTCTCGTGGCTATTTTCTCCATTTTATTTCTCCTCAAAAAAAAAGCTCAACTTATATTTTTTTCACGAAAATTGCCGTTTTATCAGCAGAGGGTAAAAGACCATCCAAACTTTGGCGATTTCTTCGCGAAACTTTTAGACATGACACTGTTCTGCTTTTCACTAAAAATATCAACTCATTCAAGGGAATTTCCTACAAAAAATAAATTTCTTATTTTTATCAACAGAGCACACAAGCTCAGCTCAACTTCAGCCATTTCTTCTCAACTGTTCTGAACTTGAAAATGTTCCCTTTTCCACTCGAAATGAGCTCATAAACTCATTATGGAACGACGATTCTCGAAACGATACATCATCAGATATGTAGGGCTCAAAATCCGTCGGCAAATGCGCCAGGAAATGGTCTCGGTGGCCGAAAAAGCTGCGTGACATATGTCAGAGGACGGGGAGATGGTCCTCACGCGAATCTCGCATTAAAACCAACCGCGAGGACTGATCCACATATGGTAGCGAATTTCCGCCAAAAAGAAACGGATACCAAAAGAAGGAGGTGGGGAAGGAGAAGAAAGAGTGGAAAAAACATGTGGCCGGGCTCCGATTTCACGGCAGCCGGTGTGTGTAAACGCGTCTTGCCGCGCGCCAATTAGGCCGATTGTTTCTGGAAAAAAAAGGGAGAGGGGCTGGATTCCTCCAGGAAGAGTTTGAGTTTCGAAAAAAGTTTGATCAGTTTGAAAAATCAAGAGGAAACGAAGCAAAGAGCTTAGGAATGGATGCTTCAGAAGGTTTCAAAGATTTCTTTTACAAAGTTTGGACCTAGTTTTTTTAAAGAAGGAAGATTTTCCGATAACGAGTCAAAAAACTGAACAGAAAATTCGAAAAAAAAAAAAAAACTGAAGCTAAAATTTTGAAAACAAGTTTGATGAAGTTGAGAAATCAAAGAAAAACGAATCAAATAGCTTAGAAATAGATGCTTCAGAAGGTTTCAAAGATATCTTTTAGTTTGGAGATTTTTTTCCTGAAAAAAATGAAAAATTTTTTTCGAGAATGGGTCAGTAAACTGTAAAAAAAGAAAGTATGCGAAAAACAAGAATTGAAGCTAAAATCTCGAGAAAAGTTCCGAAAATTGGAAAAAAGAGGCATTTCATGGTTCGAATTTCAAGAAAAAGCCTGAACTATGGAAAAAAAAATGCAAGTAGCTTAAAAACGGATGCTTAAAAAAATAACTTTTACAGAGTTTGGAGATTTTTTTTTCTGAAGATTGAAGGCGAGTCGAGTCAAAAAACCGAACAGAAAATTTGAAAAAAATTTCCAAAAACTGAAAAAAAAACGAGGCATTTCATGGTTCTAATTTCAACAAAAAGCCTGAACTATGGAATGAATTTAAAAAGCTTCTACAAATAAATTGATAAATTTAAAAAGCTTTCACAAAAAGGTTGTAGTTTTTTTTTTTCTGAAGATTGAAGGTTCTCCGATAACGAGTCAAAAAAACTAAACCAAAAGATCGAAACAAGCAACAATCTTTAAAAAAAGATAAAAAGTTCAAAAAAATTGAAAAAAAAAATGAATAATGTTGAAGTTTTATATGGTTGAAGTTTTAAAAAAACTTATCTCCGGAAAATTGATCCCCCAAACACAACAGGAAAAACAGCTAGAAGAAAAATATCACAATAAAAAAATTGTGAAGAAAAAAATAAAAATCTGAGTAAAAAAACCCAAAAAAATAGAATTTTTTTCTCGAAGCTTTAAAGAAGTTTTCCTTATGAAAATAATTTTTCCGATTTGAAATCATTAAAAATATATTTAAGAACCTTCTCAGTATTGATATAACTGTTTATTCGACTAATATTGGAAGTTTCAACATTTTTGTAAAAAAAAATCACTTTTTCCAAAAATCTCTATGACCTTTATCCGCACTGAACTCCGAAAAAGTCTTACTTATAACTCCAGAAAGCCATTTTTTGAAAAATCCAACAAAAACCTACTCAAAACATTAAAAAAAATCCGTTTTCGTCAGCATTCTTTGGCCAATGAAACCTGGTTTTGATTTTGAAAAATCACTTTTTCCAAAAATCTCTATGACATTTCTATCGCTCTGACCTCCAAAATAGTCTTTCTAAAATCTTCAGAAAACTATTTTTTCGGAAATTCTAACAAAAACCTTCAAAACCTTCTCAAAATATCGAAAAAAAAATCCGTTTTCATGGGTATTCTTTGGCCAATGAAAACCTGATACCTGCCCAAAAATAAATCCAAGAAAAAAGGGATTTTTTTCTCAAACATGCCGTGAAATACAATCTCTGAGGAAACGTGTACTTTTTGTGGCGGGAAAAAAACACGAAGCTCCCTAGCGGGGAAGGCAACTTGATATTTGACGACGAGGTATCGGTGTCTTGTTTCAGGACGCTCCGCCTCCTACAAACAAGGAGCCAACTCCAAACACGACAGTGTCGCCGCTTTTGTACAGCCCAACAGAAGGGGAAAAGCTTTCAGATTGTAATAATGTAATAAAATGGAATCGTACAGTTTTTTGAAGGCAAAGGTGACATTTCTGTCCAAGTTTTGAGCACTATTTGATGGATTCAAGTCAAAAAACATTTTCCTTTTGACAAAAGCAAGTCAAAAAAAAAACAAGGAAAAGCTTCAAAATGGAATCGTACAGTTTTTTAAAGGCAGAAGTGGCTTTTCTATTGAAATTTCGAACTTTATTTCCTGTATAGTCCTAGAAAAAGCTTCGGAATAGAGTTTTATGGTTTTTTTTTGAGCCAAAGCCATATTTCGATCGAAAAAATGGCATTTTCTTGCATTGTAAAATCGTCAGAACTTTTTTTTTCAAAAAAGAAAACCAGAAAAAAACTTCCAAAAATAGGCTGAACTTCAGAAAAAAAATTAAAAAATTAAAAGAAAAGATATATTTATAGCAAATTCAAAATTGGTCATATTCTTACAAGACTACTGATAAGATAAGAAAAAAGTTTAATTTAAGAAAACTTACCGAAAAAATAACCCGAAAAATCGAATTGAAAACAGACTCTAGATAGATCATTTATAGATAACTCTGGAATTTTTCTACGATAATTTTGGAGAAACAGGATAAAACTTTAAAATTTTACAGATTTCATCCTTCTCTTTCATTGTTGTGACTATCTGGAGATTTTCCAAACCCGAAAACTCCAAAATCGAAAAAATGAGTCTTCAAGAAGTGCTCGAAAATCAAAACTAAACAATCCTCCCAATAATAAATTGATCATTTTCAAAGAAAATCGCTTTAATTTTGAAAATTCTATGAAAATATTTGCAGATCACTCAAAAATCACACCTGATCGATCAATAAAATCTCGAGAAATGATAGAAAAATGGGTTGCTGAGGCAAACGAAGAAAAGAAGAAGCCGAAGCAAAGCAATTGGAGTGGCGCCAATGATAGATGGGCGGATCCGGAGGGCAGCCGCGCCCTTCCCGATGAATTGCCGTTTCTCCCAAATGATCCGCGACATGAAATCAATCGCGCGCCATGGCCAAAAAAAGGAAATTTGCATTCCGACGCGCTCTTCCTTCCGATCAAATCGAATCGATCAAACAATCTGATGTCATTCCGTCTGAATACCCAGAACTATTGTTCTTTTTTTTTCGGAAGGGGTTCAAAGCGTCGTAAAATGGATCAAATCATTCCAAATCTTCAACCTATCTTCTGAAATGGATAAGATTCCTGATTGAAACTCGGATCAAAAAAAAAATATGAATGACACATTTTTTCGGCAAAAAAAGCGAACAATCTTTTAACATGAGCAATACGGGATAGGGCGCAAAGTAGCAGCTCAAAAAATTTTCACAAAAATTTTCAGGTAAAACTTCGCCTGCTAATAATAGGAGAAAAACATTGAGACCTCAAAAACATTCTTTAAAACTCCATTTTTCTGGAAAATTCGACAAAAATCGAAAAAAAAACCTTAGGAACTCATTTTTTCTATAGAAACTTGAAAAATCCCAATATCAGCCCCGAAAAAAAAAAGCCAAATCCCTGAAAACTTGACCAGAAATTTCAATTTTTGCTCAAAATACTAGAAAAAGCTCAAATTCACGCCGGAAACATGATCAAGAAGCGCATTATTCTGTAAAAAAATGTGTTAAAAAAATATTTCAGCGTTAAATTTTTTTATATATTCAATTTTTTTGCATATTAAGGACAATGGAAAAAAATTTGAAAAACTCGAAAAATCAAATAAAAAGTCTTATAAGCCAGGAAAAACCAGCGAAAAACTCAAAATTTCAGCTGCAACTCACCAGGCGGTCATTTTAATTTTCGGCTTTGAATTTCTCAAAAATTGGTCAGATTAATCCTTGATCTACCCGATGAAGGTTCTGAAAATTTCAACCTGCGAAAATTCTTAGTTTCCAAGAAATAAAGGCTCAAAGCCTGAAAATAGCCTATTTGAATTTGAACCAATTTTTTTTAAAAATATTCTTTGACTTCAGGTC